TACCACGCGCCGGCGCGGCACGCTACCAGCCTCCCGCCCCGCGGAGTGGAGCTGTCTGCTCGCAGGGCGTGGCGTGTCGCCGGGGCCGCCGCCGCGACACGCTAAGCAACAGTTCCTGACCGCATCCCTAAGGCGAGGCCCGCCCAGTCGGCCCCCTCCCTCCGCGACCCTGGCACGAGCTCCTGTGCTAGAACACTCTTGTCGAAATGATGCTCATCCTCGACGGGGGCAGGGTCATTTCGACCCGCGAGCCTCGAGCCTCGACCCCCGACGCTCGACCCTCGACCTTCGAGCCTCGACCCTCGAGCCTCGACCCTCGACCCCCGACTCGATCCTCAACCCTCGACCCTCGAGCCTCGACCCCCGACTCTCGATCCTCGAGCCTCGAGCCTCGACCCTCGATCCTCGACCCTCGCCGTTCATGTTTCGATCGACGCTCCTACGATCCGGTGCGGCCCAGTGCCTGCCGGGCGCTGCCTTCCTCCCCGGGGCGGGCCGACCCGATCCGAAACCCGGCCACGTGCCGCCGCGGCGCATTCTATCGGCTCAACGTAAGAGTGACCTTTCGCCGGAGTGACCTTTTGGTGCGGGTTCACTGGGGTCCCCAGATGGCTGAACTACATGGGATAGCAGCGGCTTGCGCGATCCAGTTCGGCCTCCCCGCGGCCTCAAAAAGTCGCGCACCAAAGGTCACTCTTGCCTAGGGTCGCTCTGACGTGTAGCCGATTCTAGGATAACAAGCAACTGCGCATTACCTACCTCTTCCGTCCGACGTGTAATCTTTCGGAGTTCCGCGCGCATTTCTTGGATCGGCGCTGGGACCCCCTTCCTGGCGCTCTGAGCGCGCCAGGGGCGGCGCCAGAGGCGTCGCCAGGGGGGTCAGCGCTGTTCCAAGACATCCGCGCACAGCTCCGGAAGTTTGTCTGCTTTATGTTCTTTCTTGTCTCACGCTCCGACGCACATTTTCTTTTTTTTTTCTTTTTTTTTTTTTTTTTTTCTCTTATTCTTTTTCTTGTCTCACGCTCCGACGCACATTCCGATCCGATCCGATTTCCTGACCCGATGCGGACTGATTTTGACGGTGGTTGGGCGGGTACGGCGCAGGCCAGGCCACTTGGGCCTCGATGTCGTACTTTCCCCACTCTGCTTTACAGTTGTGCGTTGTCCTACCAGCCGTCAGATCGCCGAGCCGGTCTCACTCGTACGGTAGGTCCGCATCGTGTCGACCGGCGGCGACCCCGCCTCCAGCGTTCAGCGTTGAGCGTCGCCGGCGACCCAGAATCGGTCGATGTGGAACGATCGGACTTTTCGGAAAGTGCCGAGCCTTCAAGGTTGAAAATATCCCCACGGTGCCAGAAACCAACGCCGAAGTCGACACGACACGAGCAAGCCATGCTCTTCTTCATCTTGTCCTGGCGTCGCCTGAGCGCCCGCTATATATCTGGTCGCTCCCGAGCCTGGCCTCGCATTTCTGCCCCTTGTTTTGCGGACGGAAGGTGGTCAAACCGGCGTTGTTCAGTGGCAGTCGTTGGGCGTGGTGCGATCGCAAGGACGGCGACGAGCTGACGTGAATGCCGATCTGTTGTTCTGGCCGCCCGCCGCGCTACACTCCCCTGCAGCCGTCCCTGAGCGCAGCCGTCCGCATGCCGGGCCTCCTGTCCCGTCCGTTCCGCCCTCCTTCCCCTCCTCGTCACCCGGTGCTCCGCCCTCCCATGCCTGGGCCCCCCGTTGCGAGGGCCTCCCCGCCGTCGGCCCTGGCTCTCCCACAGGCGCAGCCCCGGAGCACCACCGCCGCGGCAGCGCCGGCAGCAGCAGGTGAGGCCGAAGACAGACGGCGCTGGCAGCGGCTGGCTCCTCGACGGCGCGCCCAGGCAAAAAGAGAGGGGCGGAATCCGTGCTGATCGTTTCCTTATTCATTGTGTTGCCAATTGGCGCGGGCCGTCGCACCCCCCCACATGGAGTGATCAGATCTTGGCTGTTTTCGGCGCCTGCTTCGAGCAGGATGAGTCTCTCCCCTGTAGGACGCACTGCTGCAAGCAGCTGCACGAAGCAGAGGTCCGGAGCCAGACCCCCCCCCGTTGGGCCCGATGTCGAAACGCCGAATAAGAAAAGAAGAGGTCTGAGAATGATGCGTTCCAGGATTCCCCTGGCTTCCAGAACTTCTCTCAGATTTCCTGATGCTCCACTCAGGCTCCAGAAACGAGTACCGCCAGATACCATGGAATTCCTGGAACGTATTGTGAGCCGATCGCATCATGACATCATTCTCGTCCAGAGGAAAGGCGGATGCTCTCCATCCCGCGTCGCAGACGAGGTCTCGCCTCCCAATTCGCGTGTTCTCCCCATTGGAGAGTTGCAGAGGAGGAAAACGTATCGCGCGCATCCCCTGCCTCTGCGGTTGCTTCCTGTTGCCCCGTCGCGCCCCTCCTGCATGGGCTCGATTCGCATGCGCGCGCGCCCCCCCCGCATCCGCTTCTTCCGAGGACCATAACCATCGCCAGGGGTTCTACCTTCGGGGACCTCGGCAGGCAGTGGATATGGATATATTTGGGTCCTCTGGGGCCGAAATAGATTTATGTCCACTGCCCCCTGAGGTCGCAGGACGTCGGTCCCCAGCTGGTGGATATGGATGAATCCCTGCCTCCCTCGCACTATACCGCGTCCGCGCTCGACTAAAAAGTGTCGCTTCTCACCACCACTCGGTCCCGAGGTAGGCAGCCAGCTTCGGGCCGAATTGGGGATGTGGGGCTTCTTAGAAGCATAGTTCAGTTCAAGCATCCATTCGGGCCTTCTGGGCATCTCTATGCCTCATACGTATTTGAGGCATCTGCGGGAGCGTCTTGGGCCTGGGGGGATGGGGGTTGCCGCAGGGGTCATTGTCCATGTCTCTTTAGGCCTCTCGAAGTCCTCGTGTGTTGATCTGATAGTTCCCGAGTGCAACATGTCACACAATGTGGGTACATGTGCTTCCTTATCTCACTGCACGCGTGCGCGTGAGTATGGCACTTTGTTATGGGCGCATTTTCTCGTGCATAATTGTAAGCCCTTGGGCTTTTCTTGTGAAGAGCGCGTGCGCGCATAGAAGTACGAAGGCAGTTGTGCGTATTAAGGTGTTCACACACCCACGTTCTCATGAGTTGCACATGCGCACCACTTAGATCCGATAAGCTTGTATTTTCGCACATACATTCACATTATCAGAGTCACATACTCTATCTCCCTGATTTAACGTGGGTGGTGTAATTTTCACCGGTCGCGTTTTTAGGCCCCAACATAATTTTCGCCAGCGTTTTGTTCCGAGGAATACTTCCCGCCGGCCCTCGCGACATACAGGCGTAATTTTCGCCGGCGCCTATGAGCACATATTGCTCGCAAGGTTGATGGTCATTCATTGCTGCGTGCGTCAGTAACGCGTTCGTCCATTTTGACTCAACCGCGCTCGCTCATTTGAGGATGAATAAGATGACTGACAACGGTGATAGCGACGACGACGGCGACGATGATGATTATGATGATCATGATGATGATGCTGGTGGTCACAGTGATGGTCACGGTGATGATGACGATTCTTGCGATGGCCACGAGGAGGACGAGTCTTGATGATGATGATGATGATGATGATGATGATGATGATGATGATGATGATTATGAGGAGAAGGAGGAGGAGGAGGAGGCTAACGACGACGATGAGGAGCAGAGAGTCACGTGTGACACCCTCCGTCTTCACTTCCGTACGGGCCGCATGGACGTCTTTGACCTCTTTTAGCCCATGTTTGGGCTGCTACTCTACTGGCTCCTGAGGGGCAGTATTGGGGGTCCCTCGGGGCCCTCTGAGGGCGCCTTGAAGACCTCGTTGGCCATCTTGGGGCTCTCTGGGGCCGTCGTGATCGTATGGGAAATCTTCTAGGGCCGTCGCGTGGCCGTCCTGGGTCCTGCACAAGCTCCCTCCTCGCGTCATCGTCACCAGCCTCGTCGCTCGCCTCGCGTTCATCATTGTCGCCGTCGCCATTATCACAACCGATTTCATAATACTACCAACCACCCTCGCGATCTGCATAACCTTTCTCCTCGCGTCATCGTCACCAACACAACATCCTCTTGATCACCACCGCCACACCATGGTCTTCAGTAACATCACCGTCATCGTGGTTAGCCGCGACCCTGAAATGCTGCATAATTTTCGCTGGCCCTTGGGCATCGTATTTTTCGCCGGCCCGAGAATCTGGCCTTGGGATAATCTTCGCCGGTGCAGCACCCCCCACGACGTTTGCCCCCCCCCCCCCCCCCACGTTAAACAAGGGAGATCGAGTACCCATGCGCGCGCACGTGTTTAGGATTCTAGATTCCCGCGGCTCAGCAAGGAGAGTTCACATGGTCAGGCCCTCAGTCGACATCGGCCAACACGCGCCCCAAATCCCGGAACAAACACATTCGAAACGTTAATGTTGGCGTTATGTGTTCATTGTGTTGTGCGCTTGTATCGGGAATTTGAGGATGGTCGCTCTGGTCGTTCCGTACACGATCCTGCGTTTAGTTCGTATCATTGTTTTTTTTCTGATTGCGACGTCCTATGGTGTATATTATGTTTGTGTATATTAGTGAGTCTGATGGCTACGTGTAACGTTGGCGGTGGTCGTGCTTGTTGACAAGGGTTCCACATTTGGGTCGAGGGGAGCAATCCTTGCTTTGCTCCCCTCAGGAAGGTAGTTGTGTGATTTTCCGCCGAACGATGCACATATCGGCATTGAGCTCCGTTGATTCCCAAAACAGTCGCTCACAGGATGTAAACTGTCAGGCTGGGGATTGAACGCTTACCCAGGGATCGAGCGCCTTGTATGCGCGTCTTATGTGGAGGCCAGAGTGTAATTTTCAACATCTGCGCGGATAGCGGGGCTACTCACGCTGTGGTCGTCGGTTCTCCGATTGTTTTGAGCTTAGATTGGTGAAAGGTCTAGTTGGTTCAAGTTACTCCGCTCACCGTGTCCGCCATCCTTGACCCCTCACGCGTGCTGCGTGTTGACTCGTGCCCAGCGGGCTTGCATGCGCATGCTTGTGCCCGCACGCATGCGTGGTCATCACCCTCCTGCCCCTCCTCCTCGCCCTCGTGCTGCTGCTCCTCCAGAAAGCTTCCTGCTCTTGTCGCCCTCCGTAGTCGTCTTGGCCCTATCACTCTCCAAGCATGCCCCACCCTCCTCCGCTCCCCACCCTCCTGGTCAAGCGTGCCGTCCGATCCCGCACACAGTAATTCCGTACGCACATGAGACTGTCGCTGGGTGCCTTGAGGGCCCTGGCAGTCACGAGTGCTCTGGCCGCGGCGAGGGCTCTCGATCTGGGGACCGGCCAGAGCGCCCGGCTCGCCGGGTGCACCGGCGGGTGCGACCGGGTGAACGACGAGCTCAAGGCCGAGGTGGATGACGGCTTCCCGTCGCGCCCAGGGAGGCAGTCGTGGAGTGACCAGCTGATGAAGGTCGTGCAGGGCGGGTCGAGCAGCCCCTGCAGTGCGGACATCGTCGCGACGTCCTACGGGAGGTACATGGGGTTCTGCTCGCGCATGAACACATTCGCAGACGAGCTTTTCGCGGCGGTGTACCGCGGCCGCTCCTTCTCCCTGTGTCAAAGCAACAAAGATCGCTTCATAGACAGGATCTGGTCGCCTCACTTCAAGAACATTGCGAACTTCTCCATGTGCGCTAGCCCCAAGGGCTTCTGCGAGCACGGGAACTCTTGGGACACGCTCCACGTGGCGAACAATTTCGCCGCAAAGCTCAAGTGGTTCGACCACGAGTACCTCGAAGACTTCATGCGCTTCCTGTACCCGTACATCTTCACCCTCGCGGAGGGCACCCAGCACCTGGTCGACCAGCGACTCGAGTCCGCTGGGCTCGTCGCGGGGGAGCCCTACGTCGCCATCCACGTGCGACACGGGGACAAGACCTCGGGCATCCACAGGGAGGCGGAGCCAATCGAAGCGGACCTCGGGGGCCCGGGTGCGGTGACCACACCGTGTGGTGAGACAGTTGGGATTCGGAGTGACCGCACGGTTTTGCTTGGGAGACTTGGGTGGTCCTCCGATGATGCCTCGGGCGACTGGACTCCAAGGCCCGCAGAGCCGTGCGGTGACGGACCGTGCGGTGAGGTTTTGGGAGATTCCGAGGCCACCGCACGGTCTGCCACGGCACCCGCTTGGTCACGAAATGACACGTATCACCCATTCTTTTTACGTCTTTCAGAATTCTTGTGGTGGACTTCTGGGGGTAGCCCCCCTCGGGGTCCGACAGCTCGCACCCATACCTATCGCGCCTTTATCGCATGCCGCATTGCCCCTCCCCAGACATGCATTGTCCGGATTTTTTCACTGCGGGGTCCCTGGAAGTTCCGACCCATTCTTGGGACTGGTGCTTTCATCCTGAGCGTTTTTTTTCACGGCCTCGGACCCGGAGAGGGCCCCCGGAGGCCGACCGTTACCTTAAACACCTCCCGTCGTGATTTTTGTTTTCGTCGCGATCATGTCTGAGTCCACAGTCCGTTTCCCTCTAGGTTCAAGTCGGGCCTGTGTGTCTACAGGAGGAAAAATTCAAAAACAGTCTGGACACGATTCTTGTTGAACAACATGTTCTACTATTTCGGAACATTTGTTTGGGGTATGTTTTATTTGTCGTCCAAAACCCGCCTGCAGGAGGACATGCCCGACCTAACTCTAGGTTCGGGCGTGTGCTGTGCGTGGACCCGTTGGGTTTCGCCCGAAGGACTCCTACGCCGACGCAGCCCGCAGCCTGCTCCTCGGGAGGCGCAGCGGCGCGGGCGCCGCGGCGCTGCGAGGGCTGCTGCTCGGGCAGCTCCGCGCCGCCAACGCCTCGGTGGTGTACGTCGCCAGCGACGACGACGGCGCTGCGGAGGCTCAGGGTTAAATCGGGCACGTCACTCTGCAGGAGGAATAGCCAAAAATACGCAAAAGTCTGGGGACGATTTTCCGATTATTCTTGACCATTTTTCATGCTTGAGTTTCTGTTGCGTATTTTTTTAGTTGTCGTCCAAAATCCGCTTGTAGGAGGACATGCCCGACCCAAGCTCTGGGGAGGAAGCGGTGCCAACACCGCTACGCTACATTCGGACCGAGGTGTAAGATAGAGGTCGGTTCTGGGATGGTACCTTGATGCTCTTCGTGTTCGCTGGATGCTCTTGTGTATCTTGGGGAGGGTACCCTTGGATCTTCTGTTTGTTTTGGCCGAAGGAGGGTCTCATTTTCTCGAGGGATGCTCGTCTGGACTAGGTCCGACTGTACCCTTACTCTGGTCCTCGCCTGTTTGGGCCTCGGGGGAGGCCCTCGTCGCCACCGTTGGCTTCGCCTTGAGATCCTGGTCAGAACGCGCCCCGGGAGAGGTCCGGGGAGCAGCGGTATCGGCACCTTCGGCGTTCCCTGGAGGCGATTGGGGCGGCGCTGGGCGGGGGCGTGCGCGTCGTGCAGCAGCCGCGCGGCTCGGGGGCCAGCTACCAATCCCGCGGCTACGAGGCTCTGCGGCGCACAGCGGGGCAGGGGCAGAGTCATGGAGACTGTTTCGGTTGGGTCCGGCGATAGCCCGGGTCGTCGGGCGCCCCACGCCCCCCCGCCCCTTCCCCCTGGATGAATGACCCGACCTCGTCGGTTGCGCAGGCCCGCAAGTGGTACGCAGGACTGGTACCGGCGGGCATACGTGGTCGGTGGCCACATGTGAACCCTACCCCCGCGCCCCACGATTTCTAACGGCGGGTGGGGGTTCACTTCGTGCTGGAGCTCCCGAGCGGAGTGCCCCCACCCACCTTAGACATCGTGGGGGATGGGGGTAGGGGTTCACATGCGGCCACCTACGTGGGGCTGCCCAAAGCGAAAAGGTTAGGTTATCGGCTGGCACCTCCCCCCTCCCCTCACCCAGGATATCTCGGGCTATCGCCGAACTATAAGTAACAATCTCATGAATGGACTGGCTCAGAGGGGGGATGCATCGACCCCCAATCGCCCATGGTTCGCCGATAGGGGTCTGACAGCCCACCTCGCCCAGGAACGTGCGGTTTCGCTATCGGGGGGCTATCGCCGATCTGTCGGCGATGTAATCACCCATTCCAGGTCAATGTTCCCCCTTGAGCCAGCCTCCTATAGTTCTCACGGGGGGAGGCGCGATTGGGGGCGGCCTTGTGACCGTGAAGGCTTGGGAACGTCTAGGAGGCAGGGGGAGTCTTGGAAACCTCCCCCGCCCCTGGCCTTTAAAGAATCCTGCGGGAATCCCCGGGCCTTCTCTGCACCCCTAGGACGACAATGTTTCTTCTTGGGCTTGTGACGGGTTTCGTCAAGAGTGGCAGCTGAACATATGAGTGGAGTTGGACCAGATCTGAGTTTAGGATGCGCGGGTGCAATTTCGGTTCCGATGTATGTGAGGGTGGTATGCTTCTTAGTGGCGCCTATTGAAAGGGGCACGGGAGGCTGTCACGTGTAATACCCCGTGTCTCCAGGCTTGTGAGAGCCGTGGTAAGGATGATCAGGAGTATGAGGATATTGATGATGATGGTGGTGATGGTGATGGTGATGATGGTGATGGTGATTGTGATGGTAATGGTGAGGTTGATGATGATGTTACTGCTGATGCTGCTGATGATGCTGATTATTATGATGCTGACACTGATGCCAATGATGATGGTGATGCTGATGGAGATGATGATGGTGGTGGTGATGATGGTGATACTGATCATGATGCTGATGCTGATGTCGATATTGTTGGTGATGGTGATGCTGATGATAACGAAGATAACGACGATGATGATGCTGATGATGATGATGATGATGATGAGGATGATGAGGATGATGAGGATGCTGAGGATGATGAGGACGATGATTACGTAGCACCCCGCAGATGCGGATGAGAGTGAGGGGGCGGTGGGGACGTCGGCAGTCTGCGAGACTCTGGAGAAGCCCGTCGCCGGCGCCAAAGTTTCACAAATTATACAACGAGCCCGCCGCAGGCGCGGATTTTTCTCTTCACGCCAATGTGGATCGGTCGCGGGTTGGCCGCGGGTGGGTCGGGGGTGGGTCGCGGGTGGGTCGCGGGGTGGGTCGCGGGTGGGTCGCAAGTGGGTCGCGGGTGGGTCGGGTGGGTCGCGGGTGGGTCGCGGGGTGGGTCGCGGGTGGGTCGCGGTGTGGGTGGCGGGTGGGTCGCGGGTGGGTCGTGGGGTGGGTCGCGGGGTGGGTCGCGGGCGGGTCGCGGGTTTGGTCGCGGGTGGGTCGCGGGGTGGATCGCGGGGTGGGTCGCGGGGTGGGTCGCGGGGTGGGTCGCAGGGTGGATCGCGGGGTGGGTCGCGGGGGGGACGACGACAACAAACTACAAATTTCAAACAACAACAACAACAACAACAACAACAACAACAGTAACAATCACTTTACCCGAACGCTCAGTGTTCTCACCAGTGCCAGGGTTTTCATGCGACGCCAGCCAATACCCCCACTTTGTGGGGGGGCAGTGCAAGCTCTACCAAATATCCACACGACTCTTCGCCACCACCCACACCCAGCTTCCCGCCCTATGACGTTCGGACACTTCACTTCGTGGCCTGCGGACGACCGTGGCTACTACACTGGCGTGGAGTACACACCCACAGAAGTTGTTAGGACAGCGCGCGCGGGTAGAAATTTTGAAAAGTCGTGCAGGTGTTTTTCGAGGACCTACGGTGCGATTCGTGTGATTTTATGATGCGCGGTGCTAAAATTCTTAAGAAGCCCAATGGTTTTTGGAGATTTCGGCGTGCGCGCGCGAAGAAAAAACGAATGTGTCCCGCATGGTATTATTTGACAGGGATGATGGCCCTGGCAGGTGCGCAACCGTTGTCGCAGAAGTTCGAAAAAGTTGCTCGCAAAAGCCCGTTTGACAGAAATGTTTAAAAAGTGTTGGGTTTCCTACGAATCCGCAAGAGCGCGCGGGATGAGATTTTGACATTTTTTTGTTGAAAAACCATTGGTTTTTTGATGTTTTTATGTTGAAATCGCTCCGAACACTAAGCTTTTGGAAGGATTTCGTCTTGCGCGCGCGAATGTCCACTTTACCTTATTTTTTGCAAGGGATTCTTGAAGTTTGGTTATTTTAGAACAAGAAATTTCATTGTATAGTGTTTTTTGCAAGGGAAAACGGATTACAACAAAACAACCGGATCTTGATGACATCGTATTACCTGAGGCTTCCTCACGAAAATGATGAAAATGTAGCTGCGGCCTAGGCGGCGCAGGGGGGGCGTGCACCAGGGGGCCCAACAATAATTATTCTTTAGAATTAATAATGTTCAACAACAGCAACAACAGCAACAGCAACAACAAAAACAACAGCAACAACAACGCAACAAGCAGAATCCTCACCACGGATTCTCAGTTCAGCCACGCACCTAGGGACAATGAATGACCGTTCGGCCCCTCACTCTGGTGATGATGATGATGATGATGATGATGATGATGATGATGCTGATGGGGATGGTGATTGTGATGGTGATGGTGATGGTGATGATCGATACTGGTGAGGAGGAAGATGAGGAAGAGGAGGATGATGGTGATGATGTTGGTGGTGCTGATGATGCTGCTGCTGATGATGATAAGGAAGATGATGATGAGGATCACGACGATGATTAGGATGACAGTTGTTGATGATGCTGCTGATGACCACGACAATGGTGGTGATGGTCATGTGGTTATGATGGTGATGGTGGACGTCGATCCTAGTCGGCTGGCGCTGCCAGGTAGGAGCCACGCCTCAGCCTCTCCGCCTGTGGGCCCAGAGGGCCCCCTCCCAATGCTCGGCTGGAAGGGCTGACGGACGTGTTCTCCCCGTCAGACCAGCACAGCGGACCATGGCCGCTTGCCATCATCTAGGAACAAGGCAGACCACATGAGCGCGGCAGAGTACAGGGGCACGACCGACTAACACAATGAACCGCCAGCAGTTCTGTTTGTCGTTTGAGCGCCTTCCGGATTTATCTGACGTTCTCAAAAGGACGTGTTCTGACAAGTTTCGTGGACAACGGCGCATCCCGTTCTTGCCCCGTCAGGTTTCGCATGCCGTGGGCATGATGTCCGTATTGTTTGACAAGCGATTGTTTTGAACAAATTATCCCAGTGCGACCTTACCTAGCAGTTGGAGCCCCTAGGAAAGCAGCATTAGTAGTAACAGCAAAGCTCACCTAAAGCTAACCTAAAGCTAAGCTAAAGGTAAGCTAAAGCGAAGCTAAAGCTAAGGTAAAGCTAAGCTCAAGCTGCAAGCTAAACTGAAGCTAAGCTAAAGGTAAGCTAAAGCTGAACTAAATCTGAGCTAAAGCTCAGCTAAAGCTAAGCTAAAGCTAAGCTAAAGCTAAGCTAAAACTAAGCTACAGCTAAGCTAAACCTAAGCTAAATCTAAGCTAAAGCCAAGCTAAAGCTGAGCTAAAGCTAAGCAACAGCTAAGCTAACGCTAAGCTACAGCTAAGCTAACGCTAAGCTACAGCTAAGCTAACATAAGCTAAAGCTAAACTAAAGCTTAAGCTAAAGCTGAAGCTAAAGCTAAAGCTCCCAGGGGACTGGGGTGACCGCGGGGCGGATCCTGGGGGAACCGCCCGGGGCGGGTTCCACTGCCCGGCCCCTTTAAGCTCAGAGAGTAAGAACTCTTCTTGGCAGAGCCTAGGTAGGGAAATACCGGGTCCCAATTCAACATGTGATATGTAAGGAAAGCGGGGAAAGGGCGGCAATCACATCAAAGACCCCAGAGCCCTCACGCATTCATCTTCTGTGGTGGGCGGGGCATGCGCTATGGAGTGTTGCGGTTCGCGCCTTAAGAGGAATGTCTTTCGCCTCGGGCAATTCGGAAGGACCGCGCGTTTAAGAAACCCACCACCTTCTTTGAATCCCGCCCCCTGGAGATCTGGATCCTCGGTCCCCTGGACCCGCCTCTTCAGCCCGAGTCATGTTTGATGGCACTATGGCCCAGGAAAGGCCCAAGAGACAGAAAATGGTGATCCCAAACAATCCTGTGGTGTTGGGTCCTCGCTTGGAATCAGCAGCGCCCCGCGCCCTCACTCACTACTCAGTCGTCCCTCTCGTCCTCCTTCCTCTATTAACTTTTGCTCTCCGTATGTCCCTGATGTCTCTCCTTCGGTACACCCCTCGCACGCTTCGTGGTCCCAAATGGGGGGTCGGCCTACGGTCCCAGTGGCAGCGTTCGCATGGCGGCACCGCACCATTTCGGCATACCATTCACAAGTTCCGTGACCCCACATCGAGCTCCGCCGAAGGTTCGCATGGCGGCACCGCACTCACATCGTCACACCCAACGTGCCCCCACAGAGAGCTTCACCGTCTGCCCTAGTGGCAGGGTTCGCGCGTGGGCACCGCGCCCATTTCGGCGCACCCTTCACGTTTCGTGGCCCCATCGGGAGTCCTGCTTAAGGCCCAGAGGCAGGGTTCGCACGGCGGTTCCGCACACATTCCGGCACTTCCCTCACACGCTTTTTGGTTTCGTGAAAAGCCTCGCCGAAGGCTCCAATGGCAGAGCTCGCATGGCGGCGCCGCACGCATGTTGGGATTTCCATCACACGTCCCTTCGCTCTTCTAGGGAGTTCCGCCGAAGGCGCTTGTGACGTTGTTCGCCTGGCGGCACTGCACCCACTTCGGCACACCCAACGCACGATCCGTGCCCCCACAGGGAGCTCCGCCAACGGCCCCAGTGGCAGGGTTCGCGCGTGGGCACCGCGCCCATGGCCCCATGGGCAGCCCCGCTTGAGGTCCCAGTGGCAGGGCTCGCACGGCGGCGCCGTACCCATTCTTGCACTTCCATCAGACCCTTTTGTGGCTTTCATAGAAAGCCACGCCAGAGTCCCCCGTGGCAGGGTTCGCATGGCGGCACCACACCCATTTGGGGATTTTTCGCATATGTTTCGTGGCCCCAGAGGGATCTCCGCCGAAGACCTGAGTGGCAGGGGTTGCACGGCGCCGCCGAATCCAGTTCGGCCAACCTTTCACACGTTTCGTGACTTCGTAGAAGCTCCGCCGAAGGCCCCAGTGGCAGGGTTCGCACGTTCGCGTCACGCCCATGTCGGCACTTCCCTCACGCGTTCCGTGACCCTATGCGGAGTTCCGTTTAAGGCCCCGGTGGCAGGGCTCGCACGGCGCCGCCGCACCCATTTCGGCACACTTCGCACGCTCCGTGGCCCCATAGGGAGCCCCATCAAGGGCCGTGGCAGGGTTCGCATGGTGGCGTCGCACCACGTTCGGCACACCTCTCACACGGTTCGTGGCCCCATAGGGAGCTCTGCGCTTGGTTCTTGCGGGCACGACCGCAGTGGGCTCCCCCGCTCAATTCGGGTACTCGCGCGAATCGCTCCCTCCACTTACGGGATCAGTATCAGGCCTTGTCGTGTTGATCGTCCCCATCTGTCTTCTCCTCTTCCTCTTCTCCTCCTCCTTGCTGCACGCGCACATGCAAAGGGTTGGGTCCTCCGCCGGGCCAGCATGTGGCCATCGTTTCTTCTCTCGATTGTGGAGGCTCTCGCGCCGACCCCTTGTGCACACCGCCACGAGGCGGACGAGGACCTCGTGAGCCTACTGACCGACGTGGAGGCACTGCGGAGGGCCCGCGCGTTCGTCGGGACCGCCAGCAGCAACGTCGGGCGCCTCGTCTACCTCCTGCGCCCCAAGGGCAGCGCTTCGATCAGCCTGGACAAAGGGGGGAACTGGATGTGGCGTACGCTGCAACAGGTTTAGACCGAGGCCCTGCGGCAGTCGTTTAAAGTAGTCAGTGCTCTAGACAGCTCCTCTCATTTTCGCCGATCGCGAAGTAGAAACGAATATGACGAATTAGGGGTTATGGATTAGAACCTGGAGAAACAAACTTGGTAATTCAGAGATTCTGGAATAGACGCAGGAGGCACACACAGGAACACAAAGTGAAAATTCAGGGATTCTGGATTAGAAGCTGGAGATACAATTCGGATAATTGAGAAATTCTGGAATAGACACCGGAGGCGCGAATAGAAAACATGTAATTTGGTAACATTGAAATCATAGGATACATTAGAGAGTTCAGAAAAGACGCTGGATGCACACATAGAAATACCATATGATAAATCAGATATTCGGAAAAAGACGGTGGATGGTTCAGCTTGCAATTCGGTGATTCTGGAATGGAGGCAGGAGACGCGAACACCAACAATTTTCTATGTCTGAATTGTGACGTTGACGCAGGGGACACCGGTTGGCAATATAGAAAGCCCCAGTTGCACTCCGATTGCCTGCGCGTGCGTAAACTTAGTCTCCTGACGAGGAGATGGAGGAGGAGGGGGATGAGGAACAGAAGGAGGACGAGGATCAGGAGGGAGAGAAGGAGAAGGAGGAGGGGGAGGAGAGGGAGTAGGAGGATGGAGGAGGAGGATGGGGAGGAGAAGAAAAAAGAGGTCGATGAGGAGGAGGAGGAGGAGGAGGAGGAGGAGGAGGAGGAGGAGGAGGAGGAGGAGGGAGGAGTGTGAGGGAGTGGAAAAGGAGGAGGAAAAGAAGGAGAAGGAGGGGGAGGAGTGGGATGAGGAGGAGGAAGCGGAGCAGCAGGAGGAGGAGGAGGAGGAGGAGGAGGAGGAGGAGGAGGGGGAACGGCGAGAGGAGGGGAGGAGGTGGAGGTTGGGGATCGGGCGGGGCGCCACCAGGAGGCCTTAGCGTGCATCCGCGGGCAGGAGGCCGCGATCGCCGTCGGGGTCCGCAGGGTCGTCGACCCAGCGGACCCCGACGAGATCAGCTGCCGAACGGCGCCAACCGGGGGGCCTGGGCGGGCTCCTCATTTTTTGCACGTCCGGATTATTACCTAACAGCGAAGACTGATAGGTTTCTAGTTGACTCAAAAGAGCTCACAGATCACTCCACAGGGGGGTCCGGGCAGGCGTTGGGAGTTGCTGGCCGGGCCTGTGCCGGGCTCGTTTTTCACCAACAGTCACACACTTCGTGCTCGTCGACCTCTCAGAACCCCATTCCCAGGCCACATTCTGAATAACCGGATGCAACAGTCACACACTTCGTGCTCTTCGACTTCCCAGAACTCCATTCCCGGGCCACATTTTGAATGCCCGGAGCCAACTGTAGGCCACTTCGTGCTCTTCGAGTCCCCAGAACTCCATTCCCGGGCCACATTTTGAATGCCCGGAGCCAACTGTAGGCCACTTCGTGCTCTTCGAGTTCCCAGAACTCCATTCCCGGGCCACATTTTGGATGCCCGGAGCCAACTGTAGGCCAGGTCTTCGAGTTCCCAGAACTCCATTCCCGGGCCAGATTTTGGATGCCCGGAGCCAACTGTAGGCCACTTCGTGGTCTTCGAGTTCCCAGAACTCCACTTTATGCGGGCCAGATTTTGGATGCCCGGAGCCAACTGTAGGCCACTTCGTGGTCTTCGAGTTCCCAGAACTCCATTCCTGGGCATGAATTGAATGCCCGGAGCCAACTGTAGGCCACTTCGTGTTCTTCGAGTTCCCAGAACTACATTCCCGGGCCACATTTTGAATGCTGAGGCAGGCTGAGGCTGAGGCTGAGGCAGGCTGATGCTGAGGCAGGCTGAGGCTGAGGCTGAGGCTGATGCAGGCTGAGGCTGAGGCAGCCTGAGGCTGACGCCGAGGCTGAAGGCAGACTGAGGCTGAGGCTGAAGCAGGCTGAGGCTGAGGCTGAGGCAGGCTGAGGCTGAGGCAGGCTGAGGCTGAGGCTGAGGCAGGCTGAGGCTGAGGCTGTGTCTGTGACTGCCGTTGCCACTGCGACTGTCATCGCGAATGCGACTACGACTGCGAGAACAGCACAATTCTACAACTGGATTCTCATCTGAATCTTAAGGGGAATGCTTCCAGGTATGCTCCTACACATCGCTGTTAGGTTGATTTGCCGGGATAATATGTTTTTGGTACTTTGGGTCGCCGTCCTATAACTTATCACATGTGTGTTTTTACGTGTTGCTCTTATGTATTCTTTGCTTTGCACCCCTGAGTCGGTGAACTCAAAGTAGAGAATTCTTTACGCTTCGCGTATCCCCACCAGCCCATCTCACAACAGCAACTCTTGCGAAGCATGCCGACAGTCGTGTTTTTCAGGCTTGTGTCCGCTTGGCCCCGCATGTCTCCCCTGTTCCTCCTTCCTCCCGCCTCCTTGTACATCCTCCTTGTGGGGGGAGCGGGAGAAGGACGAGGCGGAGGAGGAGGGAGAGAAAGCGCTCCTCGTGGTTTGAGTCGTTTGGGGTTTCTCGTCCTGGTGTGAGTCGTTCGGGCCCTTCTTCCTGGTGTGAATCGTTCGGGCTCTTCGTGATGTGAGTCGTTCGGGCTCTTCGTCCTGGTGTGAGTCGTTCGGGCTTCTCGTGGTGTGAGTTGTTCGGGCCCCTCGTCGTCGTGTGAGTCGTTCGGGCCCCTCCTCCTGGTGTGACTCGTTCGGGCTCCTCGTGGTGTGAGTCGTTCGGGGCCCTCGTCGTGGTGTGAGTCGTTTTGGGAGCCTCTTGGAGGCCTTTTGGGGCGTCTTCGGGGCCTCTTGGCGGCCCCAGGGGCTTCTAGGAGGGGCCTTGGGGGAGCGTCTTCGGGCCTCTTGGGAGCCTCTTGGAGGCCGTTTGGGGCGTCTTGGGGGCCTCTTGGCGGCTCCAGGGGCTTCCAGGAGCGTCTTGGGTGCCTCGGGGGAGCCTCTTGGGGCCTCTTGGGCGCCTCTTGGGGGCATCTTGGGGGCCTCTTGGAGGCCTCTTGGGGCCTCTTGGGACTCTCTGGGAGGGGTCTGGGAGGAATCTTGGGGCCATCTGTCGGGCGATCGATCACAGATGGGGCGAGCACTTTTCTGCCTCCCCCCGTCGGAGCCAGAATCCTCGTGAGGGGTGTCGAATTTTAGCACTCCCAGGAGTCGAAAAAGACCCCTCCAACGACCCGCGGGGCGCCCTCTCCAGGCCCAGGGGGAGGGGGTAGGGGGAGGGGTAAACCCCTCCCCGAAGGGGAAGAAGGGGGGTTGAGAACAGAGCGGGCTCTCTAAACCACTCACGCCCAAAGGGCTGGTGGGATTTCTCTGGTTTGCGACCGCGGCGCGAAGTCCGGGCGAACCCGGGGCGAGTTGCATTCGCGTGCTGTGGTCGCCTGGGGGTCCTGGACGGGGTTTGGGGCGCCGGTGCCCGAGGGGGGGCAGAGGCCCGAGGGGTCGGGCCGCGGCCCTCCTCCTCCTCCTCCTCCTCCTCCTCCTCCTCCTCCTCCTCCTCCTCCTCCTCCAGCAGCGGACCGCGTGTCCGCGCCACCTACGCGCCCCAGCCGCCGCCGCCCCCGGTGCGGTCCCACCGCCAGGCGCCTCCGGTGCGGTCCCACCGCCAGGCGCCTCCAGCGCAGCCCCACCGCAAGGGGAGGCTGCCGCCGCACGACAGCACCCCGACATCGGCGCCAGGTACGGGGGCTGCCCCCCCTCGGGGGGCCCGTACCCTTTTCTCTCCCCAGGGGGGACGAGCCCACGCCCCTGGCAAGCCAGGGGTCCGCCCGTCGACGGCCCTGGGGAGCAGCCGACCCCGAGATGGTTGTGGGCAGCGGCCTCCAGCGGCAGCCCGCGCGCCCCTCCGCCGCTCGCCCGCTGCCCTGCCGGTCCGCGAGCCTCCTCCAGCTCGCAGCGGCGCCCCCGGCCTTGCCCGCGCGCGCCCGCAGCCCAGCCGCCCCGCAGGCCCCCTGCAGCCTCCCAGCCCCCAGCCGCAGCCTGGCTCCCCGGCGCGCCGCCCTGCAGCGCCGGCGCCGCCTCCGCCGCCTCCAGCCGCCTTGGCGCCTCTCCGCCCCTCCGCCGCCTCTGTCCTCAGCCCCCCCCTCCTCCGCCTAGCGCCGCGGCGCCCTCTGGCCGCCCGCTGGGCGCCGCCCGGAGCGCGGCGGCCGCCCGCCAGGGCCTGGCCTGGGTGGCGGCCAGCACCGCGTCCGCAGCGTGCCGCTGCAGCACGCAGCCAAGGGCCTGCTGGAGCTCGCGGATGGCCGCCGAACGCCCCGCGTCGTCAGCAGGCGCCAGCCTCTTGGCGAGGGCCGCCGCTTCCTCCCCCAGCCGCCCGTGGTCCTCCACTACGAAGGGCAGCACGGGCACCAGAGGATAGCGAGCTCGCTTCCTTCTTTCCGCTGCTGCTGCGGCAGCCCCGTCCCTCCTCGCAGCCCCGAGCGCCAAGGCGTCCTGGGAAACCGCGCTGACGACCGTGAGGTCGACCAAAAGCGGTCCAGCGGCGCCGGGCGCGTGGATCACTAGGTCCATGCGCGCCTCGGGGCTCTGCGGAGAGGCGTGCGGGAGCAGCACCTCGCGGTGCACCGAGCAGCCCTGCGCCTCGCACCACTCTGCGAGCGCTGCGCACCCCGCGTCGTGCCAGCGGACGAGCCAGCCGCCGACCGGGCAGGCCCGCGCGTGTCTGCCCTTCGGGTCGAGCGGCGCGCCACAAGTCCCGCCATTGGGGTGGCGGTGCTGGCAGAGCCCAGTGCAGCCCGGCAGGTCGAGGTTCAGGCGAACTCCCATTGCGATGCTGAACTGCGCGTTGCTCAGGCGGTGGCGCGCCTTTGTGGGGGCCTGCAGCCAGCCGCTCGCCCCTGCCCCCCCTGCCGAGCGCAAGGCGGCCGCCGCGGGAGGGCCCTCGCCTGCCGCGAGGTCGGCGACCAGGCGGGCAGCCGCAGCGAGAGGGGCCGTAGCCAGTGAGTGCTGCGTTGCTGCCAGTCCTTCGTCGCCCACCTGGGCCGTAGTGTCCCCCAGCGCCTCCTGCAGCGTGGCCGTGGCCGCAGGGAGGCAGCGCCTCGCCCAGAGGCTGAGGGCGGCCAGGGCGCTGGCGTCCGTCAGTCCCAGCCTGCTCAGGCAGTGCGGCACGCTGTGGTGCCAGGGAGCGGCGTGGGCGGCAGGCGCGGTCAGCTCCACGCTCT